TAACCAACTTGAATTCTCACCTAATGATTTTTTCCCAGTGCCTGGTTGTTCTGGGCGGGTGCTTTGGCTAATTCTGGAGCGAGGTCAATTGTGAACTTCTATTGCTTGCTAACCGCTCTCAATCCACACTTTATCCTGTCACTCTTCGTGCCCTTGGCCTTCCAATAGCATGCAGCTCCTGAGGCCCTCTCTGGCCTCCCTGTATTTTTCCACCTGAAGAGACACACTGCTCGTAATTTTCTGCTTCTGATCTGTATGGCTGTCCTGGTGCAGCTTAGAGCAGTTTCCTTCGTTTCCATCAATGACTTCTTCTTGACCCAGAGAAAGCCACAAGGCACATTCCAAAGTCTACCCTGAGTGCAATCCAAAGCACCTTTCAATCATAACCATAAATGATTTGGGGATTATCTGTCTTGAATTACCTAGGCCATTGCTTCCCCTCCATTAGAGTGACTCGGCTTGGGACTCAGTGGAACTTAATATAGTCTAATGAGCACAAACATATTCAATTATATTCAAATTAATACATCCCTCCAACTCTCATACACACACAGACCGGCCATTTCAATGGAGAGAGGGAGCTGTTTGCTCTATCTCTTCTTTGGAGACAACAACAGCCATTCAGTTCTAATGCGCACTAGGGTACCCCTATCTGCATCCAGTGAGACTGTACTGCCTAATGTCTCCCCCTATACATGCTCCCCTCTCCTGCCCTTCCTGGGACCACCTGAAGCAAGATTAGAGATCGGGGAAAGAAAACATCAGGATTCCAGGCCCTCCAGCCGCCCACACCAGAGTGAAAATTGAAATCATTCAGGATACAGAAGGGCCTCCTGAAGTAATCAAAAATATTTTTTAGATTTTCAGGGTGGTCATCCATTCCAGAGCAGACTGTTCTAACTCAGAACACATGAGGGTAAATGCTACATTGATTCATTGCCCGGAGCTCTTCCAAAGTGAAGTTCCATCCTCTGTGTCTGGGTGAGGAAGACATGCTGCCTGGAGGCAGAGGACGCAGCCTCCAGGTCCATGCAGGCCCCTCTGAGCTTCCACGGTCCTTGAATCCGTGTTCCGGTGGGTGCATGTGCACCCCCCACTCCCGCTCCCTGCACGTCATGTTTTTCCAGGCCTCTCATCTTCCATCCTTCATTTCATTTGTCTCCCAGTTTTTCACAGCAACAGCCTTGTGCCTCCTTCTCTCTTTCACCTCTATCCAAGTTTGCAAGTTCATCCCTAACCACCCAATCCAGTGCAATCCCAAATAGAAACTCTCCCCTCTCCTTTGAGCCAATCACCATTCCTCACCTCCCTCAGCGTTTCTCAACCTTTCACAGGGGTCGCCTAAGACCATCGGAAAACACATATGTTCGATGGTCTTAGGAACCGAGACACCGCTCCTCTATCCGTCTCCAGGCCCACATACGAGTACCTGGTGAAAGGGTCGTTCGACCCCCAAAGGGGTCGCGACCCACAGGTTGAGAACCGCTGCTCTACAAGCAGGTTGGGCCTGCCTTTTAGGGAGGAGGGAGGAAATCAGGGAAATGGTTTCTACCTGTCCATAAGCCCTGAGGTTGATGGAGTCAAAGGAAACCCCCAAAGAGGGAAGTTTTTATTCTCATGCTGAAAGGCAGCAAAAAATTCGGACAGAAGTAAGGATCTAATTGGTTTAGCTGGACACTAAAAAAACAGTGATTTCCAGTCTTGTTACAACTCCTGATGACTCCAGTCATCTCAAGGAGGGTTTGGAAATCCTCAAAAATGATTATCTTAAAATTTTTCACAGAAAAATACCACATAAATAACTGACTTTGTTTTTGTGGGGATGGCAAAGGTCTCTCTCACATATAAAATCACGAACCCAATTAAAATAGGAAGTTTTTACGTCTAAAATAATCCCTGTTTTAGACATCATTGCTGAAAGAATCAGTAGATCTGAGGATGAAGAGATGCTCCAATCCCCAGGAAAAAAAAAAAAAAGATGGCAATATTCCTGTTCTCCAACCTCCAAAGAGGAAGAGGAAAAATCTGAACTTTTTTTCCTCCTCTCAACACCTTCCCTCAAGCCCTCTTATTAGCTGTCTACTCCTAAAACAGGGATAGGAAAAAAGGCAAAGAGGAACTGGGAAGACGATTAAAAAAAGGGGGGGGGGAGTAACAGCAAGGACAATGAACAAAAGAAAAAGGGGGCGGCAAGCAAAAAGGGCAGAGAAAACATGGAAAGAGGGCTCATCCTACGTCCTGGTCTAGAAGCTGCTAGAAGCTGGAGAGATGAGCCCCCGGCCCTGCTCTCCAGGGAGCATCATGGCAGCTCCATCCCCTCTACCTTCCAGCTCCTCTGCAGACACCACTGGAATGATGAGGCAGGAACCAGAGAAAGCGGGTATGTGACAGAGGACAAAGGAGCACAGCCAGGCCCAGGTCTCTTCGAGCTGGGCAGCTGGGCTCTCTTGGCTCCTGCCAGGAACCAATGAAACATAAAGTAGGTTAGAGTGTGTGTGTGGGGGGGGGCAGGATGCTGCATAGTGGGGTGTTGCTTGGTACTGGAAATAGCATGAAGGAATGAATGGTCCATCCCACTCCCACATGGCAGACAAGGGTTTCAGTTTACCTGGCCTTCCTCCCCCTGGCTGCAGATTTCACACCTGTCTCCACCCCCACTCTTGTTGAAGATGTAGCAGCAGAATTTCATAAGCTGCAGTGATTGTGGCCACTACCTCAGCTCCCCACCAGCTTCCTTCCCCAGCAGCAGCAGGAAGAGGGGAAAAAAAGGGTGCAATAACCCCAAATCTTCTCATCTCAGCAGCCCCCCAATTTATTAGCTAACTCAATTCTCAGCATCTCTTCCTCTCTCCCTGGCTCATAACCAAATGATCACACAAGGCTTTCCTAAGAGGCATGAGGTTGTTGAGCTGGCATCGCTTCCCCCACCCCCACAGTCTGGGAGGGGGAGTCACATTATACACAGAAAGAGATGCACCTGTTTCCAGAAGTGGCATGGGGTAAAAAGAGCTTGTAAAGAGTCCCAGATTGTTGCAAGGAAGATAATCATTTGATGGGGTTGAAATTAAACGTCCAAATTGAGGCTGCTTATGGAATTTAAAGGGGGGTGGGGTGGTGGTGGTGGTGGAGAGAACATGGGGTGGAAGAGACCAGAAATAAAAAAGACAAACACACATGATATAGTAGACAAAGGGGAGAAACCATAAAAAAAGACACACAAATAATAACAGAAGCTGAGAGGAGAGCGCCAACACCTGGGAAGTAAGATGTTACAGCTGCAGAGGCGGCTGGGGGATGCAGGAAAGCAGAGTGGGAGGGAGGAAGCAAAGGCAGAGGAGCCAAGGTGCAGAGCAGACCCTTCCCCTCCTGTGCCTGCAGCCTGTCTGTTGACTTTCAGTAGGTGCGTCCACCAGGTTTCTCACACTCGTGTTTCCTTCATCTCTGCTGGAATAACAGTCCCAGTGTCTGTGCGGCACGCTCACGCCCACCAGTTGGCCTCAGCTTTTGCGTAGTCCCACCCCCCAACCCCCATTGCTCCAGGTCACTCAAGGCTTGGGTAGCAGCTTGGCGTGTCCAGACTGTAATGGGCCCCTCTCTGCACATGCTCATATGCAACAGCCCTCAACACTAGGCTGTCACCCCTAGCTCACACTTCCTCCCAAAGGCAGAGGATGCCTGGGGGGCTGCTTGCTCTAACAGGGCGATTCCAAGCTGTGTGCTCAGTGATCCAGCTAAGGAGACTCACACAGTGATTTTTCCCCTGGCTGTCAGTGCTGCATCGATTTCACTAGCTGTGCAGCCCTTTAGTGGAGACAAAAGGGGGGGCAAAATTGTCCGGCTCTGGGCATCTCCAGCGCACTGAGTTGCCACTCAGTGTGAGAAGAGTTATGGGAGCTGATGAGCTCATCTGAATGAGCACCAGGCAGGCAGAACCCCCCCACACACACACACACCCCGACACACTGGAGGGGAAAAACCAAGACACAGTTGTTTAGAAGTAGGAGTGCGGGTGTCAAAACCCTGGAGTCGTCTGATGGGCCCTAGGCACAGACAAAGTGGCGTGATGGTGAGAGAACTAGAAAGAGATCGAAAGGGAAGGGGGCAAGCAGTCCCAGTCTTCAGAGTCGGGAAATAAATAATGTCCAGAAGGGTCTGGCTCTGAAGTGGGCCAAATGGCTCTCCTGTCCCATGTTTATGGGGTCATGGACCATTAAACCAGCCAACCTACAGATGTCTTCATAAGACTTTACGAGATTAGACTGGGGAGACCCTATAACTCAGCAGCAAGAAGGGAAAACGGGAGGGAATTGCAGAGAAGAGATGGTGAAAATAAGAGAGCTCAGCTTACAGTCACATTTCAGTGAAAGGATGTCTGGGTTCTGGGATCCCTCTTCCTCATTTCTCTTCTGTTTCTGCCCATTGCCATTAGAATCAGAACCTCATCAGGCTTATCGTACGCAATAAATTCTTGATTATTTACATATTTTCCTTCCTAATCCAACTTCTACTTGCCCACCCCACAAACGATGTTCCTGACGCACAATCATTTGGTCCTCAGGGAAGACAGTCTCTTTGCTATTTGTAAAGCAAATCAGGAAGATAATAAAAGTTATTATTTACAAACTCATGTATATCGATTTTCAAACCTAGTTTAGACTGTCAATGTGGTTTCCCACAAATTCTAACAACCAGGAGCTGACTCTTTTAGGGGTCCCTGGGTTCCTAAAAGGTCATGTTTATTCTCTGAGTCACTGGCAGCAGAGATGAGCACGGAGACCAGGAGGGCATACAATCTGAACTGGTTAAGGGAACAGAGTAAGGAACAGGATACACCTTATTCAGGCTTTCGCCACCCTGTGGCTACTTGCAGAAAGTCATAGACGAACAATCCTTAGGAAAAAAGCCCTTGTTCTCCAAGTCTCACTGCTCTTTCAGAAGTGCATGGACCCAAATTAAGGAAGGGGTGTAAGACCCAGATCTCCAAACCACCACTCAAGATCCGTATTTGAAAAGCAACCATTTATTAGAACCAATACAAGAATATGAAAAGAGGGAAAAGAGGAGGGTGGAAGAGGGGGAGAGAATGAGGTCTGCATCGGATGTCAGTTGTGGAAACACATAAACTGCCTACTTTTAAACATTTACATTTAAAAGGCGAACATATATATGTCACTTATCCTAAAAAATTTAAAAATCAAAAGCAGACATGTTTGGCTGAAATAAAACCAAGAAACACAACCAAGACTCCCCCACAAACCAAAAAGTCCATAAAGAATTCAATTTCTAATGTTTCCGTTCAGAAACCTGGCTACAAAGTGTGATTTGTTTTGCTACTCAGGATGGTACAGAGTGCTGAGAGAAACCCAGCCTCTTGAGTCTCTTAGGTCCCACCTGTGGGAAGAGGTGGGAACGCCAGACCACTCAACTCCTGGCAAGTTGGCAGGATGTTGGACTGCGCTCTCCAGCCTCCAGAACTCCATAGAACCGCCTGGTGCCGCCAGTGCTGGATGAACCAAGGAGCCAAGTCCACAAAACATGGAAAACTAGAATGTGACTGCAGCAAGGGGCCAGGACCTTGTGCTTCTTCATGGGTTACACATCTAGGGCCAAGGAGAGGGAGAGGAAAGAGCCCTATCGGGAAAAGGAGCTGGCTGGGCCCCTGAACTGAGATGGAAAGTAAGGCTCTCAAGCTCACACCTAAAATAGAAAGTGTCCAAAGTTTTCCCAAACCAGATGAAAAAAAAAAGGTCAAAGCCAGGTTCAGACTGTGGACACAGAAAGAGATGAGAGATGCTGAATGTAGTGAATTGGATGAAGCTTTAAAGAGAATCAATGCCTAATTCTGAGTACTAACCGTATCTCTAGAAAAACCATTTTCCAATGTGGCTCTTTTTTGGTGGGGGCTGGAGGAAGTGGTTACATTTATTGAACCAGCTGGCTCCTATAGGGAGGGTGGAGGCTTGAGTACAGATACCAAGAAGGGGTGCAGTGACCCAGCTCTCCTGGGGTCAGTTTCACGAGGGATAAGCAATGATATAAATCAAACCCACCGTGTCTGCTCCAAGCCCATGGAGCTTGCAGGGAGAAACAAGCAGTAGCATCTCTGCCTCATGGTTTCCTAATCCAATGCTCTTGGGTCTGAAATGACCTCCCGTTGTGGATGTGAAACAGAAAATACTAAGTGCCTTCCCCCCAAAACATCCTAAGTAAGTCTGGACTATTAAGACTCCAACATTCACAAAAACACTGTCAACATCTGAACTAGCAGCTTCGATGAGGGGTGGCGGGCAGACTGTGCCGAGGTCACTAAGTAGTTCCAACCTTGGGACAGCTCAGTGAGGGCTAAAGCCTAGGTTAGGCCTAGACTTCGGCTCAAGGCATCCTCCATCGAGGACCCTAAAGTATTCTATCAACTTTGATTTACAATGCCTCACAACACCCCTGTGAGGTAGTCAGTATTATTACCCCCATTTGACAGATGGGGAACTGAGGCATTGAAAGGAGTGACTTGCCCAAGGTCAGCCATTGTGAATCAGTTGAAGAGGTTGGCACAGTCAGCATCCACTCAATTACTTCACTCCCTAGAGCACACTTGGGAACAGAAGGAAGCTGGTAAGTACCCTCACTCTGCAAACAAGATGAACTCAATCAACTCACAAGTGTTAACTGAGGGCTATTATTCATCAAGCACAATGCAAGGAACCTTGGAGGAACAAACTGCTTCTGAAAGCCATGTGTTAATGGGTATTTTGAAAGTAAAATTACATTTTAAACGTTAAGGCGAAGGACTAAGTCACACTGATTCCCCCAAGTTCTGTACTAAGTAACCCAAATTCTTAAAATCCAGAATGAAGCAACAAGACCACATTCAAGCGGAAGCTAAGAACTGGTTTCCCCAGTAATGGTCTTGGTAGTGCTCTGAGCTTCAAGGTTGATGGGGAAGGACCAGCAACAGTGGTGGCGGCAGCAGCAGCAGCAGCAGCAGCAGCAGCAACGCCATTTACAGGCTAAACTGGGAGCACAGACATCCTAGCACCACCGACCATCCTCCTGCTGCTTCGCTCCCCTGCCCATAATGCCCCGAGGTCAGCCTCTCTCCAACCTTTTCTGCCTCAGCTCTCCTGCAGGAGTTGCAGTATCTTCATCAACAGTTCAAGATAAAGGACATAAATGGTGACCCCTACTTTTCAATTCAGGGAGGAGGAGTCAAGTTTTCTCTATACTAGTCATAAGACTCTTGTAATATTCTTTCCTCCTGCCAGAGGCGTAACTCTTTAACAAAAGAAAGGCAAAACATAAAACACCTTTCCCCCCTCCTTTGGATTTACAGTAGATTCTGACAGAGATCATTATGACCCTTATTTTAAAACGAGGGGGACAAAACTAAATCCACAGCCAGCCCTGGTTTAGAACCAAACACTAAAGCTACTAGAAACTGCAAAACACTGACTTGAGCCTTAAAAGTGCTGTGACACAGATTAAACTCGATCTTCTCTAATCTCTCAATCTGCAGGCAGGAAGCCCACCCCACCCCCCTTTCCTCCGTATCCCCTCACAGTGGCTAGAGTGGCAGGAGTCTGCATACAGAAGCTCAAAGAATGATTTATCAGCACACGGGCTGTAGTGTTCACCAGGGATACTCTAGTTCTAGGAAGGACCAATCATTCCAAGACCTAAATATAAACCTTTTTCACTGATTGCTAATCACACTGAACAAGTCCAAATGATGATCAAGTTCAAGACTGATTAAAGTGGGAATGACATTTCAGGTTCAGTCTGTGTTTGGAATTCCTCAAAGTGTGACAAACTGGCCACTGGGGCCTGGATCAACCGTGAGGGTCACACCTGCCAATGCCAGGGGACATCACACATACAAAAAATACAGAATGGCAAGATAAAAAGTTCATTGCATTCAATTTGGCCTAATTTCTTGATAATAGTTTCCTATTAGATTTTCTGATTAATACTGATGGCTCTTACCTAGGCTGCGATAATTAGGTTTTGATCTATTGTGACATTAATGATCACAATCAGTTGACTTTGAAATTGTCTTAATTAATGGCTCTTCCCTTGTCAGTTGCCTCCAGTGCAGGTTCCGTCCCCTCCCCCACCACTTGTTTTAACTCCTTCTCTTACTGATCTTAGAGACAAATAGCATTTGGAGGATCACTTTCTTCCCATAAACCAAGATTTTAAACTATTTTAAAACATTTCTCTGACAGAGGAACAATATGAGATGGTTAGGTGAAATGAGGATCGGGATGAAAAGGCAAGAGAACATGCTGTCAATGAATAGGAAAAAAATCCATCTTAGAAAGCCAAAGTCAAGCATTAAGTTAAAGTGGCAATGACAAGTTGATGTAACTCTAAAGACAAGATGAGGTAGTTTAAAATTCAAGAAATCCAGCGCAAGCAAAAAGAAACTAGAATTGTTTTTATGAAGCTATCCAAAGAGCCTTCACACTTTAACTGTCCTGAAGTTATTCTAATTCCTGGGAATTCTGACTTCCAATACTAGTCAACTCTCAATGATCCAAGCAAAGGAGCTTTTTCTTGTGGTCAGAACTAAAACATTTCTTAAGGTCCGACTGTTTCTTAAGAAGGCTAGGCCCCATCCTAGATTAAATCCAAAATTCTAGAGTATGTGGATTTTGGGGAGGGTTTCCACATAATTGACATGTCTCTGCTTAGAAATCACTCTCTTGCAGTGTTAAATAAAACTACACGGCCCAGAGTAGATGCCCAGGTATTAACAGATGTGCCCCCAGGATGCCTTTTTAGCAAATCTCTTGTCATTGCAAAATGTCCGTTTTAGGCTAAAAGCCAGCTTTATGTTAATTCCTCCAAAAGGGGTAAGAAACTGAAAAAGGTGTGAGCTACTCCATGAGGAACAAATGTTACAGAACCCACAATAATGTAACATAACTGAATCCGCAATATAGTTAATACTTTCCACGAGCAAGGATGAAATATACCATTAAATACTTTGGCAAAGAGCACAAAATAGGGACCGAAATTTGGGGTTCTAAATCCCCACTCACCTGTTGTTCCCTCAGCAATAGCAGCATTGCTAACTAACCTTCTGTTACCTTTATTTTCTGAAATAAAACAAGCCCTTGTTGTGGTCTATCTATGTCCAGTTAGCTCAGTTCATCCAAAATCGTAGGTCTTTTCCACACATGAACCATGTTACCCACTTACTTAAGGGCCACAAACTATATCAACCAGCTGTCGATCTCTGTCCCCAATCAGAAATGTGTATCCATTTAAAACATTTATTATACTTAACTATTAATAGTTTATTCCACACCATTATGAGAGTTCCTTGAGGTCATGGACTGCATCTTTTTGAACTTTGTATCCCCCAGGCCAAAAAATGTTTGTTGAATGCATGTTGATCTAACACTAATGTGGATGAAATATGGATGGCTCAATACAAACCCACCATTATTAATTGGGAGGGAGCACCCAATTCTTAGCAGATGCTCTTGGGTGCAAGGCTGGTAACATCTCTATTTTTGAAAACAGAGCTTTTATGATCCGTGGTAACGCCAACATGAACAGGAATGCACTGGATCCAGACCTTTCCTCTCTCCACCTTGCTACAGGTATGCTTGCTTGGTGGCCTGATTACAAAGGTACAGACCTCAACATTACTGTTTACTGTAAAAATCTAAACCAAAAGGAAGGAGCCATGGGTGCAAAATAAGCTTTTCCTTTGACCTAATTTGTGAGAAACAATTTCCACATTTCAAATCTAATGACACAACCCTTTCTGGGGTTCTCTGGGGTCATTGCTAAGTAGTATTTTAGGCCCTTGAGTTCAAACCCTAAGGGCAAAGACAACCCTTCCCTAACCCAAACACAGATCCCTCTGTATTTTAGGTGAGCTGGTCAAATATAGATCCAGTAAAATCACAAAATGAAAATCCCAAGCACCTCCCCAAGGCCCTATGATCTGACCTGAATATAAGGTAAGTGGACAGCAGGGTGGCTACAGAACAGGAATGAAGAGTTAAGAATAACTGCCCAAGCTATGGGAACAGGACCAACCTTTCATCAACTACAAAAAGTGGCACACAGATATGGCTGGGGGACAGCCAAGGACCATCAAGACTTTTGAGTGTTAAGGAGCACCACAAGGTCCAAATGGCTCCCTTGAGCAGAAAAAAACTGGACTGCAAGAAGAAAAATGATATGGCTCTCTCCAGTTTAAAAATGGGTGCTTCCATCAGGGTGATATTCCCCAACAGCTGATCTTAATGTGAGGGCAACAGCCCAGCCCAGGGCTCAGAAAAGCAACTACACTGACCTTGGTAGGCTCTGCTGGGAAAGGGTCTACCACAATATATTCTGTGAAAGACAGACCCGTGAATGCTGATTACTAAAGAAATTCATCATTAGAAAAATGTTTTGGAAGGACTAAACATGGAAAATATAGAGCACCTGAGGCCTAGATGTTTAAGAGTGCTTAGCCCACGGCTACTAACTCTTCTGAAAGGAGAAAACCTCGTGAAAACAAGTTTCTGTTTGAGTTTGCAATTCTCCAAGGGCCAGGACAGCTCCTTAGCATTACAAATGCCGGAGGCAGAGGCAGGCATCTGGTTTCCTTTCTGCTGAGGGCTGAAATCCACACTGGCCTCTGGCTCCTACATTCCTATAGAAGCAGCCTGTGGACAGGCAGGGAGAGAACAAAAGTTGTTTTGGCGGCACTCAGTACAAGACCATGATTCAATAAACTGTGGACAGAAAAAGATGAATGGGATGAAGAGTAAGGTATTAAAGGGGTGATGAATAGATAATACTGGGGTGATTTTGTTAAAAGAAAATTTTGATGTCTTAAATATTGCCTATAACCCTGGCAACCACGTGTCCCAGGTTTCTCAGCATCCATCGTACAAAATTGTTGTTTTGTCCATATGCTAGATTTTGGTAAAAATATGGTCACTGTAATTTACATGCCCACTGCTCCTGGAAGACACAGACTGGCTACATGGATAAGCTGTCATTTTCTCCACCTGCAAATTGAGACCCAGATCACCTCCTCAGAGGGGCTCTAGCCTCCTTTCGTCCTATCTTTGTCTACCCTAATATCCTTGGTTGCCTGTATGACAACTCTATTTCCTGACCATCCTTTCTTTTAGATAAGTAGTTACCTAGCACTTGATCTAGGCTTTTAATTCCTTCAGAGAGTAAAGGAAAATGGAGATAAAACTCCTATCCATTTGAGGTATGGGGTTATGAGTTCTTAATCACATTACCATTCAGAAGGATTTTCCTGGATGACTTAAACCAAAATCTTCATTGTTCCAGGCTGTCATGTCACTGCATCAACAGCTGTCTTCCCAACCGTGCAGTATAATTTTTGACATAATTTATATAAGCACACAATTCAATCAGCAGCTAAGCAGGGAAGCAATGTTAACAAATGCTATGAATGGGTATATGATTTGCATATTATTCGGCTCATCTGTGGACTAGAGCAATCTATCCATTCCCCTCATAACTCTGAATAATCTAGAAATGGTTGAATGCTCCTTGCCAGACAGCTATGTTTTAAAAACCGAAGCAACAAAAACCTCAGTGGCTGGTGAACTCTAGAGTTAAGGCTATTTCAAGCATTTATTATTTCCTCAGCTTTGGGGCTGGGACAAGGATGCTCAAAACCCTGCTATTTCCTTACTTTTAGTCTTGATTCTCTAGCCCCCCCTCAACTAAGAAAAAAAGGGTAAAGAGAAATAGGGCATCTCATGATAGCTAAAGGCAGAAGGTTATGATCAGAAAAATAAACTCTCAATATAATGGCAAAACAGGAGGCAGCCAAAGGGAAATATTTTGCGGAGTAGGGAGAGAAGGTTATGTCAACATGCTAATGCCAGGGCTTGGCACTCTCTGAGGTGATAGTCTTCCATTGAAATGCATTTTTAAAAAGACAGAACTAAGAGTTTGAGGGTGGAAGGAGGAAAGCATTAATACTTTGGGGACTCTTCGCAAATCCAGGAGTCAACAAAGCAGGAAATTTAGAACTATAAATGCTATGAATATTTAAAATTGGTATTGTGGCCAATGGTTCCCCTCTAAGAATTCCCCACTGAAAATAATGACATGGAGAGGAAACTTGGGTCCACTGAGAAGTGAGGGACAGGTCTGAAGCCTCTTTGGTTAACAGGAATGCTTTGGGAGGCCACAAAAGTTGGCAGGGTTGGAGGGTGCCTAGCACCTTGGCACAAGCAAGCACCAGGCAGTCACTCACACCTACATAAATATATAGTCCAAATGTGAGGGATGGAAGGAAATAATACATATATACCACATGTGATAATAAAGACAACTGAACCCTACCCATCATCCTCATGTACTAATAGCCAAAAACCTCCACAGTTAATAATCTTGTCATTTTATGACAGACTACGCCATCGTGCAGAAGCAGAAGCAGGGATTGCTAAGAAACAAGGCCAACAGTCCTGGGGCTAAATGGAGTGCCTTAACAAATCTGAATGTAAAATTTCAAGTCCTCCAAAGGATGGAGCTATTCTGGGAGGATGGGTGAGGACGAACAACAGAGGGTGGTCCAGAAGACCACACCAGGAACCCTGTATTCTCCTGGGTAGAGCTGAATGAAGTTGGGAAAGCCCCAACAGGTAGGCAGTTGCTATTGGCTTTTTAAAAAGATGGGCACCATCTTTTCCATCCCAACATCTCAAAACAAAGGCTAGCTGGTCATCAACATGTTCAAAGAACCAAAATTCATCATCACTGTAACAAAATCCCCCAATCTAAAAAGTGACCAACCCTGAAAAGATCAAGACTCTAAGGTGATTAAAAAGTTAAAATTCATCTTGAGGTCACAGGGGAGCAGAAAGATCAGGGCAAAGGAAAAAATTATGGGAATTACACACAGTATGTAAATGCCTGGTCTTCACAGAGAGACACTTATCATGAATCAGACCATCAGTTATGTTACAAGAGAACCAATACCAACATTTCTCCTGTGGAGCACAGTGATAAGCACATTTTTTATGGATGTGTTTGGGATAGAAGGGGATGGGGAGAAGGAAGGGGAAACAGGGAGGTGAATGTATTATGTACAAAGAGAAATGACAGAGACCACCCCTTCCTTTAGCTCTTTGCTGTTTCTTTCTCTTTGTTTTCCGCATCCTCAGGATATGCGTGCCACGTCAGTCTCTCTTCATAAAATGCTATCACAATCTGTGGACATTTTACATTAGCTTCTTTTGCAAGAACCAGGTCTGCTTCATCTGTGTCTTTCCTGGGGAGAGAGAATAGGAGACTTAAAAGGAGAGAAAGTAAGAGTAAAGAGTCTGCCCAAATATAGGTTTCTGTCATTATCTGGATTTAGCTGACTTGATTTCCTCTTCATCCTGATTGCAGTGAGAAGAGCCCTACCAGTTGAATCTTTTCAAGAAGTTTAAGTAAATGAATTAAATTACAGTAGTCCCCCCTTACCTGCGGTTTTGCTTTTTGCAGTTTGTTACCCACAGTCAACTGTGGTCCAAAAATATTAAATGGAAAATTCCAGAAATAACTAATTCTTAAGTTTTAAATTGTGCACTATCCTGAGTAGCATGATGAAATTTCATGCTATCCCACCCGGGATGTGAATAATCCCTTTGTCCAGCATCTCCATGCTGTACATACAGTAAGACATCGTGAGAGAGACCACATTCACATAACTTTTATTATAGTACAGTGTTATGATTGTCCTATTTTATTATCAGTTATTGTTGTTAATCTCTTACTGTGCCTAATTTATAAATTAAACTTTACCACAGGTAGGTATGTATGTATAGGAAAAAAACATAGTACATATAGGGTTTGGTATTATCCATGATCTCAGGCACCCAGGGGGAGTGTCTTAGAATGTATCCACCATGATAAGGGGGGACTACTGTATTACTGAGTATCACTTAACTACTATACTTCATCAGACAGAAACAGAAATTTTCACAGCTAGAACTTAGTTGGAAAAGAGCAGGCTTAAAATTAAATTATATAAATTCTGCTCCCATAATTTTTATTTGTATGAGTGAACACACAATCAAACCTACATGCAGCCCTATTGAATATGCATAAATTGACCAATCCAGTTTCTGGATCATCTAAGTGAAAGCATCCTAACACTCCTCTTCTTGTGGCCTTTTCTTTTCTTTTTTTTTTCTTATGGCCTTTTAAATATTCATTATCCTTTTGGTCAGAACTGTGGTTTGGAACAATAAGAAAACAGAAATTTAAGTCAGAAACAGTACTTATAAAAGGGAGAGTAGGAAAAATGTAAAATCTAGTACTAAAAATGAAATGTAGGAATTAGCTGCAAATTTCAATTACCCAAGTTACACAAACTCTGCTACCACGTATAACAAAAAAATCTAGCAAGTTCCTTAACCAGGATTCCAAATAAAAATAAAAAAAATGTTTTAAATCAAAATTCCACTGGGATGTGAGCAAGGACTACTCCTTTTCTAGAAAATGAGATGTTTAATTTATAGTGTTAAGTATTCTAAATGAGGAGGGTGAAAACATGGCTTAGAGCAGATACTCAAATTTAGACTGTGGTGGAAAGCTAGTTAATATATAACTGTAAATCATAAGTAGCACATTGGCTGAGTGGGAAAAGCAGTCAATACAGCTCCTTACTTCTGAAACAGTATAGTGATTCTTAAAAAATCAGCTTCTGGGTAATTTACCAGCAAAATTTTGATCAAATAAAATGTTAAGATCATACAACTTTTAAGGTAATTAGCTTCCTCAGCGGCACTGTAGCATGAACTCTCTCTTTAGAGACCAAACTTAAATCACAAGCTCAGAATACCTGGAAATAGGCAGGTAGTAAGGGCCACACCATAAACCACCCTGTCTTTTAGAAACCAAATTGAGGGGAAGTAACTACACTTTCCTCTAAGAGCCATTCCCTCTACCGGATGAAATAACTTGTGCTTTGGCCAGTATTATTCTTAATGCTTTTTGTTGAGATTTTCTCTTCTAAACATTATTCAGTGGTCTTAGACCTCAGTGATGGCAGAAAGCCTTACTCAACTCCTATCCCATGGCCACAGGCTTATGGTCTAACGGTAAATGATTCAGAACTGTGTAAAAAAAATGGTTAGGTCATGTTTATATGTTTCGTACCTCAAATGTACTTTTTCTGGTGTGTGGGCTAATATAATATAATTTGGCTTTATACCAAAGCTTGAGAATGTCTTGAATTCATTCCAAACCATAATTCCCATTTAATACTGACAGCTGGTGTCAGTTAAAGATCCTTGACAATCAAAATTCTTGGTTGAGGAATATGCTGTCTTCCCTCCCTATCTTCTATACAAATTCAAGTCACTGACAAACCCCCCCCCAAAAAAAAACAAAAACCAACCCACAATTGTAGAGTGAGACCCAATCTCTCTCACCATTTCATTAGGAACATTAAATCGCCACAGGAATCTGTTGCCCCAATGATCTTTTCTGGTTCCAGTCCTCTCTCAAAGCCCCGAGCGATATCATTGCTCTGCTATAAATAGAAGATGAAGAAAGGTTACAGCTTGGAGAAACAGTAAAAACCTCCCTGTTTCTCAGCTCAACAAAGCACAACCTAAACTAATAGCACCTGATACCATTTTTATCACCAGTTCATAACATTTTTTAAATTTAAGAAATACAATATTGGGTCACCCAGAGACAGTGATGCCAAAAGATATTTGTGCAGGAAGATGCAGCTGTCCTTCCAGTATTCCTTCAAAGGATTAGAAATGGCCCCTAACACTCTTTAATATCCCTTAAAATATTCTGGAGTCATATGAGAACTCCTCTCTCTACTCTAATCTCCTTAATGATATAAATTGACTACCCCAAATTGCTTCTGAGATGAAAACAAGTTCATGTTTACTCAAACTAAATGCTTTTTCGTTTTATAAACTTCAAATACACCATGAATCTCAATCTTAATTGTTTTAGACTTTTAGTTTACCTAACACTAACCAGTATTTTTACTACTTCTTTTCACACAGTCATCTATATTTATGAAAGAACAGATGTAAGAGCGATCCAAGGAAGTACCGTAAAATAGCACATTTCTTTCAGAGCTCACGTACTGCAATATGCAAGCACTTGGAAAGAGGCCGTGGTCTGTACCTATCCTTTCCTGATGTGGATGAGTCATTAGCATGAGAGAGTAGAACTGGACAGTGATTTAAAACAAAGAAACTGATAATTCTATAGGGGATTATTCAAATTTGGTCAGAACACAATCATGCAATCTAGACAAGGGGCATAGGGTCTGATTCAAGTGTGGTGGCACTGGTGAGAGCAAAATGGCAAAAATTTATAAAAACCAGGTAATTTAAAAAACCTTATTACAGAAGATAATGCAAGCTTACTACTGGCAATGCAAAAAAAGATTTAAAAAACACTGTCCAACTGAACTAATCTCAGATGTCTGATTTTCGTAATAAAATCTCTTTGATCTAACGTTCACTTTGCTTTCTTCTGAGAGATACAAACATTCAGGGTCCAGGTGGTCCCCAAAGATACCAGAACCCACATTGGGAAGGAAATGCTATGCATGGATTAGGGGAGATACTGACTGAAAAACATAGCCTCTTTTGGGGGCGCTTAAGGGGAGGGGGTTCCCAGATGTGCACACAGCTGCTCACAGCTGGAATGCTGGCGCATGAACTGAGTCGTAAATCATAGCTGGCGGCTGAAAACAGTTTGCCACATAGGGAGGGAAGGAAAGAAAAATGTTCAAGCTGCTGAAAAGGAGCCGAGGCGAGGAAAATGCTAAAATCATCACACAGGCAGTAATCTTAAATCATGCATAATGCCGACTAACAAATTTCTTCTGCAGTGGTCTAAAGAAAGAAACTCAATCCCCTCCTGTACCTTTAAAACATACAATCACCTATCTTCCCAGCTGCTTAACTGACAGCCACCAGCACTGCTGAGAATGCTGTCAGGGGCCCCAGGTGAACATTACAATGTAAGGGACGTGTGGGGGTTATTTTCAAGGTCGGCAGCATCAGAACCTGTCCTAGGAACAAAACTCTGCATTGGCCAGTGGCTCTAAGCCAGGATGCTCCTTTTTAAAAGGACAGAAGCCTTAGGTTGAGGAAATACACACTATATGTCACAAATGGCAACTCAGAGGTCTTATGCTATGTTGTTTTTCAGTCTCTTTATTTAGCTAAAGAATTAATCAAATGACAAAAGCCAGAATACAAAGGACTAATAAAAAAAGGTGATGTATTATAAAATTGTACACCTGAAACTTATATATTATTTACCAATTTTACCCCAATAAATTTAATTTTAAAAAAGAACGAACCAAGTCTTAGCTCCTTAGAGAAGGAAAGGTATTCTCAAATTTTTTATCGGTAGTTTATCATAATGATATACACACCTCACAATAACAAAATTAATGTGGGAAACAAATAAGGAGACAGACACAAACCCATAGTCCATTCTCACTTGCAGCCTCCAATCTTTCACTCTTATTTCAATCCTTTTTAGAAAGCTGGTCTCCCACTTTCTCTCCTATGGAGACCAGGAATCACTTGTGTAGGTCTTTATAAAATACTGATGCCTAGATCCAAACCACAGAAATTTGAATTTAACTGGTCTGGGGTACATTTTGGGCATTGGAAGTTTTTAAAAGTCCCACCCACACCCCGTGATTCTAATGTGCAGCCAGACCTGAGAACTAACGCTCTAGAAAGATTGGTATCCAAGTAGAATGAAGATAGATAGGGATGCTTATGACAGTGATGCTAGATGATTCAGAAGCAGACTTAAGCTTTTATTTTATTAAACTTTAAGGGTATGATACATCCTTCACCACAAAAGGCTTCACAACCTTGAAATAAATGAAAGGAGTCGAAGCTGGGAGGGTGGGATGTGTGCAGTGTGCACAGATGGAAAAGATATAGAAGAAAAAAGAGAGGCAATAACAGTGTTTATGTTAGTTACTTCAGACCTAATGATCAGAAGGACTAACGCAACTGAAAAACACCAAAACTTCATAAACAGACTTTATAAACTGAATTAAAAAACTCAAAAGGAGGATGAAAATTAATTTATGTGCAGTACACAGAAATAAGATCAAAAGAGAAGATAGCACTGAACTGTACACTTTAAAATGGTTAATTGTATGTTATGTGAATTTCACCTCAATGAAAAAAAAAGAGAATATAAAGGTTTGAACATAAGGGCTATTTTTGGAACAAAAGAAAAAAGGAAGTGAAGTGGTAAACATTTTAAAGCCCTTTTCTATTCTTAAAAAATTCACCAAAGACCCTTTATGTCTAAGATAACTTAGCCTTCTTCTATGGAGAAGACAGAGAGTGGTTGAATGTTTTAAAGGGATTTAATTTTGCCACGTTAATACAGTTCAGTGTAGCTATATTACATTTCTCATTCAGCCAGGAGGGGGCACTGTAGTTAATCAACATACCTCCCTGGAAGCTCTTTTGTTCAACAATTTTACCTTGCAGGCCATCCTTAGAACAGAAATAAACAAAATAAGGCTTTTTTGGAGGTAGGAAGGTGTGCGGCAAAAGAATAGTTTGGGGAAAAGGGGAAAGGAAGCTTACCTCTCTCTTTTTTTTGGTTTTGATATCATCAGCACTGTTCGAGAAACTGGATTTCCTCTTGTTACTTTCTGACTTCTCCCTGGGTTTGTTATTTTCGCCCTCCTTCATCTTCTTATACTTTTTCATAAACTCAGAAATTAGCTCAGGGCAATCCAAATTTTTCTCCGGTTCCCAGGTATTGTGCTCCCTGGGCAAGAAGAACGGAGAAAAAAGGAAAAGAATGAGGTGGAGAGGGAAATTCAACGCCTTAAAGAGGACAAATAGGCAAAAGGAAAAAACCCTATACTTAAAGGAGACAAATTCGATCCTAGAAATCTACCCAAAAGAAATGAAAAAATATATAAACAAAAAAATTGCACACAATCATTCATACCAGCATTTTAATAGCCAAAAGACAGAAAACAATTCAAATGTCCATGAACTAGTGAGTGAATAAACAAAATGTGGTACATCCACACGGATCAGTATTCAGCAACGAAAATGAATACAAAAACTAATATACACTACAACATGGAAGAACCACAAAAACATTATGTCAAGTGAAAGAAACCAGATGCAAAAGACTATATACTGTTTGATTCCATTTATGTGAAATATCTAGGAAAGACCAATTTAGAGACAGAAAGCAGATCAGTGGTTCCCTGGGTCTGGGTCTGGGTTTTGGGATTAACCACACAGGGGCTCAAGGGAATTTGAGGAGGTTACAGAAATGTCCTAAAGCTGCAGTGTGGTGACAATGGCTCAAATATAAATTTACCAAAAAAAATCACTCAATTGTACACTTCCAATGAATGATTCTTATAGATTATAAATTATACCTTAATAAAGCTATTAAAAACTCAAATAAGAATTCTGCTTTACAAGTGGCAAAATGTGATTTAATACATATAATCATCTATGCAAATTGGGAGAATAACCTAATAAATCATGCACCCCCAATTTAGACTGCCTTACATATGTTACTTATACTTTGAAGAAATGTCAACAAAGTATTGGAAGATTGGAAATAGTTATTTAGAAAAAAAGCAGTAAGGGCTTAAATCATTAGAATATAGACAGACGATAAGAAGACTCAGGGGCCGGCCGAGTGGCGTGATGGTTAAGAACTGGCTTGGGACGCCAGAGGGCCCTGGTTCGAATCCCACATGAGGGCCGGTGACACTGCCCTCTACAGCTAAGATGGTGAACAACAGCTCGACCTGTAGCTGGGCTGCCATGAGTCACCAGCGACTGCATAGGCTGCAGCCCCTGCTGCAGTGGGCTGCCATAAGCTACTGTGTGTGGCCGGCAGCCAGCGTGAGCGGCCGGCAGCCGGTGTGAGCTGCCAAGAGCCGCTGTGAGCGGCCATCCAGAGGCCAGCGACCAATCTGCCTCAACTGGGAAGAGCGCAATGA